TAATTATATCTAAATATTTAAGTGTTGTGTAAATGAGATAATGATTTAATTTTGTAAAATATTTACGATATTTGTATTATTAATAGCCAAACAATTTAAGTGTAATTAAAGCCAATAAACAAAATAATGATTCAATGCTTTCAATCACTTTTCAATACCTTTTATTCATTCATTAAATATAAGACCAAAAAAATACAAATAATCGTCACTTTGGGAACAAATTGAGTGATAATCGAGTGATCTTTGAATCTACTGTTCCTTCATATCTCTAAGACGTCTGACGGCACTCCTGACGGTGGCCGCGGCGGTGGTGCTGAAGACGTAGGCGCCGCCGGCGACTGTCTTCTTGCAGGCGCCACACCTCCAGATGCCGACACACGTCCTCTTCATGGACTCCTTGCCACAGAAAGTGCACGAATACTTCGAGTGTTGGGTGATCTCCATCTTCTTGACCATCTTCCTCAGGGACGCACCATATCTGGTGCCGTACTTCCCGACCACTCCTACTTTCTTCGTCCTCTTTGCCTACACATCACCGACAATGGTCTTAATTATCACCCAAACACTTCCAGTATCAATAAAACTTACCATAGTTTGTTCAGATGAATGCCTGTATGGGAGACACACTTAACGGAAAGGGATGTCAGCTCTCAGTGCATGAAACACTAGCGCACAGACTATACGTCCAACAAATACGTCAGGAATTAGCCGTAAATATGATTGGATTTGCCGTTTGTTTAGTCCTTTGAATTGTAGTGAATTTAATCATATTTTGAGACCATTTTAGTAATAATTGTTTTATTTAGATATCATAAGTTAATCATTACTTTTATTATATCATTTCTATAAAGCTTACAGTATATCACTTCATGATTAGCTTATTGTATAACTTCATATAAACTACCATGATAATTCTGTTTGATTCAATTGTTTTATATGCATGATTAAAATGTTAATTTTTTAAATAGCATTAAATTTTACAAAACAATAATTGCTAATTTAATAAAATAGTAATCTAATCCACATTTTAATATTTATATGAATCTAGTATTTGTTGAACAGTTAGTTTCAATAGACTTCTAATAAATTAAAAATACTTTAACTGCAAAACCAGGAAAATTCCGACTTTTTTGCCATTAAAATAATAATAATAGAGAAAATACAACAAAAAAAACTTTAATTGTCAATGAAAACCTGGTTGAGTTAATGGTTATATGGGTCTGTTATGATATTTATATATTAAGTAATTGTCTTAATTTAGAGGCAAATTGTAGGCCAAGTGAGTGTTTGGCCTATTATTACAGAATATGATAGAAAACCCCAAAATGTGTGTATAATATGGTCTATACATGACTCCTATGAGTCACTCGCAAAGAATTGGTTCAATTGATGTGAATCTCATAAATAAATTCATAATTAAGTGTCAAATAAAAAACAATTAAATGAAAAGTGAAGTGAAAAGTAGCGAAAACTTTAGACTTTTCCGGTTCGCGATGGGAAGGGACGGCAACTATAGCTCAGTATTGGTTGAGCCGAGAGGTGGAGCACATGAGTTGGTCTCATATGAGGTGATAGTTGAGTGTCTGTGACGTCAACATTGAGTTTATCATAAGTTTAACTGCAATTGAATTGTGAAACCAGTGAACACTTACCGGTTAAGTGACATAAAAACTCATTGAAACCTATTGTGGACTCAATTGCGGACAACATTTGCGTCAAATCCAGTCATAACTGTCTCTCCCATTGACTCGCATTTGAGGAAAACGATTGACACAAACACTGAATCTCTTATCTTATCTGTCGCTAAATCTCGCCATCAATTGAATTGATCTGAAAGCACACGAAGACATGTCCGCCGATCAGGTATTTATCATACAATTCATTGAATAGTCATTTAATGTATTGACAATTGATGTGTGGATCCATTGAATGCATGAATCCATACGTCAATTGAATGGACACTGAATTGATTGCAAGCTATTTGTGTGACATTTGATGATATGATGTGTTTTGTCCCCAATTGACAGCAATTTCAAAAGGCCGCCGAAGACGTGAAGAAGTTGAAGGCAAAGCCGACGGACCAGGAATTGCTTGAGATCTACGCCCTCTTCAAACAGGCCTCTGAAGGCGACTGCAACACCGGTAGGTCTACCCATCCCTGTGTTGTGCCACTAGTGTAACCCCCGTGTGATGACTCCCCTCGTTTATAGCCCGACCCGGACTCCTGGACCTAAAGGGAAAGGCCAAATGGGACGCCTGGAACAGTAAGAAAGGTATTGTGGCTCTCGATGTGGCCTATTATCATATGTATTAATGCGTTGAATGGGTGGACAGGTATGTCGAAAGACGAGGCCAAGTCTGCGTACGTAAACCGGGTGAAGGGTTTGGTGGAGACCTACGGAGTCTCATAAAAGCGGTCATTAATCTAATCGTTTGTTTTCTTGATTTGATACTATTATATAAGGATTTTTGGCAATTTTATAATCATTTCAATAGTTATATAAATATTGAATTTGAAAACAATTTTTATTTATAATGAAATTTAATTTAATAGAAGAAAACTTATTTTGATTAATAAAAGCAATTATACAAAATATTTTGCATATTATTTGATTCAAACACATCTACGGGCTATGATTTACGGGGATTCGGGGGAAACCCGTTTTTCTGACATTATTGTATGAAATGTTTTTTGATTTACTAATAAATTAAACGTGTTTTGCAACATTTTGAATATATTTGACAAAAATCAAGTCTTTCTCAATGTCCAGTAGCCAGACAATTTTATTCGTAAACAACTTTAAGTTTTAATTTAAATATTTAGTATTCAATATTGGTATTGTTACCCTAAGTTATTTAAATTGAATTCTGAAATTAATTAAATAACATACGGTACTGTATTTCCGGGTGAATATCCATTTTTACTAAACTTTTACATAATTATTTATTGGTTTTTAAAAATATTTACCTGTACATATTCCTGATTCTACTGTACCTCTACTTAATGTAAAAAATACCAACGTCATATTATTGGATTATTGCTAGAATCATAATTACTAAAATATCATAAATATTACCGGTTATAGTATTTAATTTACATATCTTACTTGTTAGTCATAAATTGCATAACAATTGCCATTAGATTTCAATTCTTCCGCACAATAAGTTTCATTCATTGAATACTTTATTCAATTCTATGCATACAATTCATGTCTACAGTATTTCGCAAGTTTTATAGCATATTATAAATTTACAATTGCATTATCAAGAAATT